GTTTTTACATTAAAAGAAGAATACTAACGTTCTAGGGCCCTTGTCATTTTGTCTTCCTGTATAGCTGTGCACATTTTAAACTGCTGTTATGATCTTGTTTGAATTCCAGCAGTGGTTTCCTTGAGTCCTGACTGTGTTTGTGGATCAGAGTTGAAGGTGACGGTCAGACCAGGAGACAACATCACTCTCTACTGTGACTGCAAAAGATCAACTGGAGTTTACATCGTGTGGTACAGGAACTGTTCTCATGAGAACCAGCCTTCACTCGTTCTTAAAGTAAAGAATATACTGAAACAAAATCTTCCTCCTAATTTCCACTTATTGAAGAACCAGTCCTCTGAATCCTACGACCTGCTGATTCTGAACATCACTGAGTCAGATGAAGGTCTTTACTACTGTGGAACTGAAGAACCAAAAGTGGAGGATAAGGAACACATAAGTTCTAGATATATTTACTACAGCTACAGCAACATCACAAGAAGAATCATATTCAGTAAGTACGCTCTGTCTTTGTGTGACTGTGATTTCAGTGGATTCAATAATTTGAATATTACAAATAAATCATTCACTGAATTAATGATGTCAGACCATAAACATCATCCGCTAAGATCATCAGACAACACATTCATACTTTTGTAAAATGAATGATTAATTTGCAAAGAAAGTGTTGTACAGGATGATGATCACCAGATCATCAATGACCAATATGACTACAACTAACTCGAAAGACAAGTGGCAGAAATACTATTAACTGAAATGTAATTAATATAGCTGAAATAAATGGACGATCAGGAGGTATTTGAGTAGTGAAAAAAGAAGAGGTGTGACACACACACACACACACACACACACACACACACACACACACACACACACACACATATATATATACATACATTCAGAAAGACTCAACTTGTCTGCAAAGTTAAATACTAAAAAAATTTAATTAAGAACATTGACTTTCTCAAGATGTTGTTTTTTTGGTCAAAAAGTTGTCAAAAGTAAACAAAACTGATTGTGATGAATTTAAAAATATTGAAACCCTGATTTAAAAAAATAATAATATTCACAAGAAAACATAAAATGTTTACAGAAAATGATACGCCAATTTGAATTTAATGCCAGCAACACTTTTCAAAAGTTGGGACAGGGTCATGTGTACCGCTCTGTTGTTATCACACTTTTCTTTAAACAACACAGGAGACCAGTTTCTGTAACTTTAAGAGGGTAATGTTTTACCATTCTTGCTTAATGTAGGATTTAAAATGTTCAACAGTTTAAGGACTCCTTTTACACCTTTCATACAGCTCAAAAACACTTTTAATGGGTGACAAGTCGGGACTGCAGGAAGTGCCAGTTTAGCACTGAGACTCTTTCTTACAGGGCAAGGCAAGTTTATTTATAGAGCACATTTCAACAACAATTCAAAGTGCTTCACACAAAACATCAAAAGCATCATGACAGAGGAAAGAAGAGAAACATTAAAATAGGAAATTTAAAAATGACTGAAATTATTAAATCTGAAAATGTGTTCAAATAAAAATAATTCAAATGAAATTAATTGAAATAAATGAAGTAAAAATATAAAAAGAGTTAAAAGTTACAGTGCAGAGTTAAGATTTCAAATCTCATTCAAATTGTTTATTGAAAGGCAGCTGTAAACAGGTGTGTCTTCAACCTCGATTTAAAAGAGCTGAGAGTTTCAGCAGACCTGCAGTTTTCTGGGAGTTTGTTCCAGATTTAGGGAGCATACAAATTGAACGTGGCTGCTACGTGCTACATCAACAGTAGTTCAATCTGTACACTAGTGTGTTTATAATTAGATCAATCACACTTATAGTAATTATTTATTTAATAATAATAAACTATTTTCTGATATTTTCGGTCTACCCTACCACGGCCCTCTTCTCTCGCTCGATGACTCTTAGCAAAACTAGAGTCGGCTCGGACGGACCTAGCAGCCAAAGAACATACCCTTTCGGGTTCTCTGGCCTGGACTTATCTAAGATCAGGCAGATCCTGTCGCAAAATAATGCAGAAAAACTAGTTCATGCATTTGTTACCTCCAGGTTGGATTATTGTAATTCTCTTTTGTCAGGGTGCTCTGGTAAGTCTCTAAAGACTCTTCAACTAGTCCAGAACGCTGCAGCTCGTGTACTGACTAGAACTAGGAAAAGGGACCACATTACTCCTGTGTTGGCTTCTCTGCACTGGCTCCCTATACAATCTAGAATAGAGTTCAAGATCCTTCTTCTCACTTACAAAGCTCTAAATGACCAGGCACCATCTTATCTTAAGGAGCTACTAGTGCCGTACTGCCCCTCGAGAACACTACGGTCCCAGAATGCAGGCCTACTAGTATGGAAGCGATTAGTGATCAAAATTGAAATGATAACGCTAATTTGAAAATTCAAATGCATTAACAGAAATGCGTTTGAATTTTCAGAATATGAGTGTATTATTTGACTCAATAATAAAAAGATGATTAATTTATCTAATTTGAATTTTAGTTTTCAACTTAAAAAATGCACATTCTTTGACTAAATTAAAATGATGAAGAAAATTAAATTTTCTTTATCATTTTCAAACTATGCCCCGCTAAATTTGTATCATAATTCAAATGAAAAAGCAAATTTTAAAATGAAAATACAGTAAAAGAAACACGTTTGAATTTTTAGATTATAAGTGCATTATTTGACCTATATTTAAAATGAATATTCAGTCATCCAGTTTGCATTATACCTTTGCTCTCTATGTCTGCATATTGTATGACATCATTCAAATGAAAACTAAAAGGTCTTTGGCTTTTCGTTTTCAAACTTGCCGTGCTAAAAAGTGATCATAATTCAAACCAACTCGAAAATGAAACGGCAAAGTGGACGGTGCAGGAAAGTGACGTCAGACTCCAGCTCCCAGGCAGGTGAACGTAATATTTACAGTCCATGAGGCGAGCGGGCAGAACACGCACTACGATAGGTGGCGGGCATAACATATTATTCTAATTCATCATTTGAATTATGATTCAGTTATGGATGTTTGTTTGTTTGTTTTTTACCATTTTTCAGCCTTTTAATCAGGCAGCTTCGGACCAGAATTGGAACGAATGGGGACACGTCGGATAAAAGCACCAAATTATTTCCATATTTTAATGCATTCCTTGACCCAGAAAATATATTTACACCAAGATTGACTTTCTAAGTGGCTTGGAAGACATATTGGCACTAACAGACTTTACATGGCCGCCATCTTAGAACCGCCAACTTGATGAAGTGCCCCCCCCAAAAAAAAAAAAAAAATTTGAAAGCTATGGTGATGGAGACTATGTGGAAAAAAATTGGTGCTTTTGTCTGACATGTCCCTATAAATTTACTAAGCTGCCTTAGCATTATTTTTTTCCAAAAACAATAAAATATCCCAGTTTCATCAATTTATGTTGTCTTGTGCTATTTTCATTCAAATATGAGATTTCAATGTTTTGAAGTTTCTACAACTTTCTACAACTTTTTAGGAATTTTTCTGTAGATCAGAGTTAAATGAACGTAATCAACACAACTTTCATTTAGATACAGAACCGAATGAGACTCCTCCCCCCAAGATGCCACAGGACTGCTGGATTCTGATCTTCTGTCTGTGTCCAGTTGTATCTATTGTCTCCTCTCTCCTCTCCTCACTTGTGGTCTATCACTGCTGTAAGAAGGGTAACTACCTCACTTTTTCTAGAATATGTATCCACATATTTGTTTTTAATCACAAAGACACCTTAATGTCTCTTCCACTGTGTGAGTTTCATTGTGCTGTACTGATGTTATATTTATTCCTGCAGCTGAAGAACATCCTGTTGATCAGCAAAGACCTGACACTAGAGGTCATCCAAGACAGAGCCAGGTATCTATCATTAAAGTGTAATGTATCAAAGCATTAAAGATGTTCAAGGTTGGGCTTCTAAATGACAAATATCCAATCTTAGGATGACGATGTGTGCTATGCTGCTGTGGAAATCCGTCAGAAATCAAAGAGACCAAAGAAGAAGAAGGAACCGCAGACTTCTGACTCCTGCACCTATTCTGCTCTTAATACATCTAGGATGTAACAGACCTAAGACCAGAGGAACAAAAAAAATAATTTTGTAATGTTGACATAAACATCGAACAAAAAGTAAGGACATTTGTGTTTGGTAGATTTATTTCTTTGTTGGAACAATGCTTCTTGGCAATAAATCTTATAACTTTGGAAAGACTGTTTATTTCCCTTTTAAATGGTGCCACATTTGTAAGGAACATGCAATGTGGGATGAGTAGCAGAGCTGAGTATGAAAATTCAAAAACTTGAGAAAACATGAAAAAACAGCTTATTCGTTTTTTGGATTTGATGATTTTTTTTTTTTATTGAGTTTCTTTATTTTGAGACACAAACAGTAACAGCAAAACAGAAATGAACTAAACAAAAAACCCACCCCAAGCTAACAGGATTGGAGGATTAAAATTTGAAGAAACAAGACACATTGGCAATTTAACAATTTATTGATTTAACAAACAGGAGCCTCAGTATCGTGTGGAAGGCAAGGCTCTTTCTGCTCTGAGGTTGCCCAACTTAGATTTGACCACATTTTACCCAAACTGTATAAAAAATGACAACCTTGAATAAAGGTTCTCATGGAATCAATTAGAATTTCTGTTGAATTTTGTCATCAATCTTTTCACTTTTTTGTGGCTCCTGTTGGGCTCAACCTTTCTTAGATCTGCTTCACCTTTTAACAGAGATACACCAACAACGTACTTTGATTAATTTGAATATGTACAAATAGATGGTGAAAATAATATTCATGTCTTTAAATGTACTCTGTGACTCCACAAACTCTTCCCTAACAACGTGAATGTGTCTGAAGACATTGACAAATTGGATGATAATCGGCCATCGAGCGTCGTAGTAGGATGGTTAACGCCATTGTGATAGTAAACAAGGGTCTTCAAAAGCTGCTTCTGCTGAACATCTGACGAAGAACCAATTGTTAATTCATGAGCACAGCTGACCTGGTGGTTGGGTTGCCCCGAATGTTTGGAAGCTCTGGTCCTCTGGGCGGGTGGTTCAGGTCCGGCCTGTGGTTCCATTACCACGTTATTCCCCCCTCTCTCTTTCCTGTTTACTACTCTATACACCGTCTTATCAAGTGAAAGCAAGAAGCCAGAAAACAAACAAACAAACAGTTAATTCAACACCACTAGCTGACTTTCTGACACCATTTTGACTCCGCCCACAAAACGCATCATCACTGTGTACAAATATAACAGGTCTTTAAACTCGGACTCTAAAGACTTTGTGAGACGTTTGAAGTGGAGCTTGTGTGATGTCCGCTCAGACAAAGCCAATCTATTTGTTCTGTCCATCTGCAACCAAGAACACAACTCTGGTGAAACATGCGTCTTCATCCTGAAAGGTAATCAGACACAGTAACATGAGTGTCATTAGTACAGAGTCTCTACTGCTGCAAAGATGTCTAATGGTTCTGAGACCATGAAAATACCAAAGAAAGTCCTTACCTGATTCACTGTACTTTCCTCTCCCATGTCAGGTCTTCTCTCAGTCATTTGATCTTTTTCATCTGTAGAATCATAAATAAAAGGTTTCTTGTTAGACAATGACTTCATTCTTTCAATGATCCATCACAATCAATATGATTCATTTGTATTTTAGTCGATTCAAAATGTCTATACTTAACAGGTAAAAAGTGATTGTTGTGTATTTACCTGCATTCTGACTGCAGAGATAAACAAAAGTCAGGCACAGGAAGGTGGAGAGGACCGTGATGGCTGGACTGAACACCATCATCCAAGATACACCAGGCTCAACATGGGGTGGACCGATGGAGTCACCGGAGTCACTGGAGGCTAGGTCAAATATAGAATGTGGATTAGATGTTTAAAATGTTGGTTTTCAATGTATCTAATTTTTCTCTGGTGTGCAACCACAGCCTGTAAGAATGAATGGACTAAGCCAGAGTGACATCACCCGTCTGTTACTGCAGGGGGCTTTGGAGTCCCATCAGTGGCATTATAACCACTGACAAAACATTGGAGCTTGTAATGATAGTCATACGAGTGATGAAGGAGAGAGCTACGAGTTTGATCAGATCTACTGCACGTTTTAATTAGCAGAAGAAAAATGAGCCACTGCATGGAAACCTTTGACTTAATTCACAATGTGAAAAGTACTCAGATATTTAAACATATTTGTTCTTCTTATCTCAACATATCTGCATTAAATGTCTTTTTAAACTAATTTCTCAGGTACCTCCTGTTGCCCACCCACTTATTTAGGCTTTCCACATTTCCTGTCTTTGCTGTTGTTGTAGTCACTTTGGTCATTGGTGATCATCTCTCTGCTTTGCTCTGTCACATTGTACTTCTATAGAAGCATATAGAGTAATGAACACATACCACAGAATCTGTACATTTCTCCAACTTTCACATTTCTCTACCAAAACTCCATAGAGCACCTTTAAAAAAACACAGTATAAGTGTGCTGATGATCTCAGCAGATGATGTTATGGTCTTACATGGGTGTTTCAGTACGCTGAGAGCCTCCCCTTGTGTTCTTTAGAGAGTGTTGCCTGTGGATAGACATTTTCTCTTATTTTAGAAATCTTTTTTAATAAATATCTTTTTACTTGTAAATGATGTGCAGTTTAAGCTCATTATTGCAACTACTACTTTGTGCAATCTTTACAGTCTTTATCTTCATAAACTCACGACACACTAAAATACAATTGTTGGTTGTTGGTCTTTTGTATAAAATTAAACTTTATACAAAAGACCAACAACAAAAAACTGCCTTATTAAAAGTCAGAAATCTTCGGCCTGATCCCGGGCTCATCAGCCTTCACAGGCCTAGACTGCGCCGGGCTTGGAAAGGGATAGGGGGAGAGATGGGATAAAATTCAGGAAGAGGGATAGGGAGTAAGGGGGTGGGGGTTGGGGGTTGGGGGGTTTGGGGGTTGTTCTGGCAGGCCGTCAACCAACAATTTCAAGGAGCCTAACCCCCAATTTACACATATTCCGTGCGTGCCGCGGTCTGTCAGTTCCACGGTTTTGCTCCTTCGGACGGCTCGCGCCCATTCACACTGGATCTGTTTCTGGGACGTCAGCACACCTATGACACATCACAGGACAACTACAAGATCCCGCGGGAATAAAGAGTAAAACATGCAAACAACATGTTGCTTTGTCTTTCTGAGGATGCATTGTGGTTAATTCGATACCTGTTTTGACGTAATGTTGATAAAGTGATGAAAAATACGATCGTGAGTCTGCATATTGTGTTTAATTTTAAAATTGACTGGACGCTCTGTGCGTTTCCTTGTCTGACTTCCTGTCCGGGCTGTCATATTCTGTCCAGCTTGACGCGTGCCTGCAGCGTACTCCGGCGAAAACAGACTCGCTGCCAGAGGTGTAAAGAGTACTAATATATTCTACTCAATTAAAAGTACTGTTACTTTGCTAAAATAAGTAAAACAAGTAAAAGTACCAGATTAAAAATGTACTCAAGTAAAAGTAAAAAGTAACTTGTTTAAAATGTACTTTAAGTAAAAGTTACTTAGTTACTTTTTTTTAACAACGCATCTCTCGTGTCGTGAAAAAAGGACGAGAGGAAATTAATCTCAAAGTTTTTTTAATTAACGGCAAATCTTAACAAAGATTTATCTTTTCTGATAAACATTTTCTCATAGCCTAAAAACAAAATATACATAATGATGGATAAATAATCAAGGATTATATGTTCAAGTAATCAGCTGTTTTATGAAGGGAAATGTTTAAACTATTTAAGAAAATACTAAAAGGATCTTTGTCTCAATCATGAACAGTGTAAAGAGTATTTTAGTGTTTTTAGTTTTATTATTCTGAGGCTGGTTAGTCTCAAAGACAGCATCAAAGGCTGATTTAGCTGCAAATAAACCTGAGATGAAAGATAATTCATTTATTGTTTTGAATTGAGCCTTTATGAGCTTAAATATTAGATGTCTTAGTCACTGTTTGTTTACCTATTAGCTACTGAAGCTTCTAACTGAATCTGTTTGGTTTGAAGTATTTATTTTCACACGTCTCAGATGTGTTAAGTTGCAGCAGCTTATAACACCCACTTTCCTCATACGTCTGTTTCAAAAGAAAAGCACATCACAGAGATGTCAATAAAGGACTTTTATTGTGAAAAACTTTCCGGAACTAAATGTGTTTATCGCTCGGAGCTGCAGCGGCGATTGTAGTCGCGAACGCTGCAGTGAGAAAAAGCATCCTCAGCCACTTCTTTGCCCAAGAGTAAGAACCACAGCCAACTTATTTTAATCATGTTGGACTTAAGACAATGAGACATCAATTTATAAACACCTTCAGCAGGTAGACCCACAGTAGTGGAGGAGCTTATCCGTGCTGCACTAGCTGTAGTGGCATCTCTCTCTGTCTCTCTCTCTGTCTCTCTCTGTCTCTCTCTCTGTCTCTCTTTCTCTCTCTCTCTGTCTCTCTCTGTCTCTCTTCTCTCTCTCTCTGTCTCTCTCTGTCTCTCTCTGTCTCTCTCTCTGTCTCTCTCTCTGTCTCTCTGTCTCTCTCTCTGTCTCTCTTTCTCTCTCTCTCTGTCTCTCTCTGTCTCTCTCTCTGTCTCTCTTTCTCTCTCTCTCTGTCTCTCTCTGTCTCTCTCTGTCTCTCTCTGTCTCTCTCTCTGTCTCTCTCTCTCTGTCTCTCTCTGTCTCTCTCTGTCTCTCTCTCTGTCTCTCTCTCTCTGTCTCTCTGTCTCTCTCTCTGTCTCTCTCTGTCTCTCTCTGTCTCTCTCTCTCTGTCTCTCTCTGTCTCTCTCTCTGTCTCTCTCTCTGTCTCTCTCTGTCTCTCTCTCTGTCTCTCTCTGTCTCTCTCTGTCTCTCTCTCTGTCTCTCTCTCTGTCTCTCTCTCTGTCTCTCTCTGTCTCTCTCTCTGTCTCTCTCTGTCTCTCTCTGTCTCTCTCTCTGTCTCTCTGTATCTCTCTCTGTCTCTCTCCTGTCTCTCTCTGTCTCTCTCTCTGTCTCTCTCTCTCTCTCTCTCTCTCTCTGGTGCATGCTGGGAGTGAGTGGTGCGGAGTGAGACGCTGAGCGAGTGGTGTGTGTTTTTTTCTTTGGCAATTTGATTTAATTTAATGTAGTTTATTGGTTGTAGTTCACTTTAAGTTAATAGTTAGTGTGTGTTTGTGTTTGTGTTTTTCTTTTTCTCTCCTGCCGGTGTCTCGCCGGTCGGCGTCTTCAGACGTCATGGTAAATGGAGTCACCTTCGGCCACCTCACGCGAAAGCATGGCATTAAAATTAATGGCAGCTTTCCGTGCAGCGTGGAGGAGATTGGGCTTGCGGTGGGGAGAAGGTCGGGCACAGCAGCGTGAGGTCGGCCGCTCGGATGAACAGCGCCGTGGTCATCTTCCTGGATCAGGTGGAGAAGGTGAACCGAGTCGTTGAGACGGGCATCACGGTGAACGAAATGTTTGTACAGGTGGGCTCCACTGACACAGCCTTCCACCAGAGTCATCCTGTCCAATGTCCCTCCGTTCATAACCGACAAGTTTCTTAGCAGAGAGCTCTCCAGACATGGGAAGGTGGTGTCCCCCATAAAAAAGATTCTGTCTGGATGTAGATCTCAGCTGCTGAAACACGTGGTGTCTCACCGTAGACAACTGTTTATGATACTTAACAATCGGGATGCGGACCTCAACCTCCGCATCCATGTTAAAGTAGATGATTATGACTACGTGATATTTGCCACCTCGTCGGCTATGAAATGTTTTGGTTGTGGTGAGGAGGGACACACCGTGAAGGCCTGTCCGAGACAAGGGGATCCGGCTCCGCCTGGCCGTGGGGTGACGCCCGGCCCTGTGGCGGGGCTTTCCGCTGCTCCGCCGGTTGCAGCGGAGCGGCGGGAGGCCCCTGCCCCGCGGCGGGAGGCCCCTGCCCCGCGGCCTGAGGCCGCGGCGGAGACTTCATCCGCTGCGGCCCGGACCGCGGCATCTGAGCGGCCGACAGCGGCACCGCGGAGCGCGCCGCGCCTCGCCGCTGCTGTGTCGGACCTGGAGCACGGGGTGGTGAGTATGAATGATGTGCACGGTGTGGGTGAAAACAATCAGGGAAGTGAAGGAGAGGTTTTGGGTGATGTGGTGGAAAGTGAGGTGGGTGAAGAAAAGGGGGAAGAAACAGCTGGAAAAAGTGTGAGTGAAGTACAGATAAATAAAGCAAGTGGGGTCAGTGAAGTGCAGGAGGGTATGTCAGAGGAGGAAGATGAAACACAGGCAGAGGAGGCAGGTGGGGGGAACAGTAAACTTACATGGGGGGAACAGGTGGAAGAGGCTGAGATGGAGGAGGAGGAAGAGGAGGCAGTGAGGGTCAAATCTGCTTCTAAATGCAGAAGGAAAACTAGAGGCACAAAGTATGAGGCAAAGAATAGCAAAGTGGAGGAGGAGGACAGACAGACAGTAGGGGGACAGGGACAGACAGAGGAAAGTGAAAGTGATGACTGTGTCTCTGATAGCAGTGATATATCTGGATTTAAAATAAGTAACAGTCAACAGAAAAAACTTTACTCTGCAGAAATGATTAAGTCGTTTTTAGCAAAAACCAAAAATGCTAAAGGTGTTAAAGTTGAAGAGCATTTCCCAGTTTTAAGTTTGTTTTATACCTCGGCCAGACTCCACATGAGCCAAAAGGAGGAGTCTGGCATCACTAACAAGGAGTTTTTTAGATTAAAAAAACTTGTGTCTAAAGTTAGAAAACAACTGAACAATGATGACGGGAAGAGCTCCAATGTGTGTTTTAATTAATTTATTGATTTTTATTTTTGTTCTTAATTCTCTAACACTTATGGATAATTTTAGAGTGGGAAGTTTGAATATAAATGGAGCCAGAGAGTCAAAAAAAAGAGCAGCTATATATGAAACGGCCAAAATGAAACATATTGATGTTTTTTATTTACAGGAGACACATAGTGATAGCACCAATGAGGCAGACTGGAGGAGAGAGTGGGAGGGGGAAGTCATTTTAAGTCACAACACTTCTCTTAGTGGAGGAG